TAACAGTAATTGTCCATATTAGTCTTGTTCATATGTCCTCGACCCTGGAGATTCGTGGGAACGTGTCCACTTTACAAAAGGTTAATTCGTATATTAAATATTTACAAATGTAATGAATGTAAGATTTTTTTTTTAATTTTCATATTCATATCTTTTTTTTTTTAACTCCGTTATAGACGCGTGCATGTCTATGTTTTTACACGTGCATACGTGTTCCCTCATAAACGTAATTGTTTTTCAATTTTTTTTTTTTTTAAGCATTACGCTCCGAGCAAGGCGTGAAGCCACTAGGATGCAGGGAGTTGCAGAAGATTTGGAGCAAGAGCAGATAGGAGTGATAGAAGAAAGGATGAGGAGAGGGATAGTGGGTAGATCAAGGTAACTGGAGATGTCGATTGACATTACATTTGAATAGTTGGAGATTATAGCTCTCAGGGAAACAGTAATTGGGAAGGGTGTTCCACAGGCGAGAGGTGCGAGATATGAAGCTATTGGAGTAGAAGAGACGGCTACATTTAAATGTTTCTACAGTGTAAGGGTGGAAGCGGGATATCAGCCTCGTAGGGCGCTTGAATTCATGGAGTCTGGGAACCAGTGAAAGCAGCTTAACTGAGGAATTACCATGAAAGTATTTGTAGAAAAGACAGAGAGAGGCGACGGCGTGTCTGTGAGAGAGTGACTGTAGACGAGACGCCAGATCAGAGCCAATTATATTACATATCCGTCTCTGGATCTTGTGAAGAACTTCGAGGTAAACAGAAGGTGCCCCAGACCATATATGGCAGCAATACTCCATGCAAGGGCGAATGGTTGATTTGTATATTTGAAGTATCGATTCGGGGAGAAACATTTCCTGGCGCGGCACAGAGAGCCAACTTTCCTCGCGGTGGACGAAGCAATTGACTCAATGTATTTGTTCCATTTCAGGTCAGCAGTCAACGTGAGACTGAGCAGACGCAGGGAGTTGCTCTCAAGAATTTGACTATCAGACATTCTAATGGGGTGGGGAGAGGGAAGGATCTCTATGGTGATTAATAGAGAGTAGTTTTTTAATAGAGAGTATTTTTCAATGACATATTTTGTAATCTTTTATTTTTCATTGCTATTCTTGTCTGTATGCATATCTTTCATTATATATATATATATATATATATATCATAATATTTTATTTTAAAAAAAATATTTGGCATTGTGACACGGAAATTTCTGTTTCGGAACTTAAATCTTTTCCATTTTCAAGTGATGTGTGTAACATTTTCAAAAGAAATGTTCTGAAATATGAAATTTCCGTTTTGCGATGTAAAATATTTTTTTATATAAAATATTATATTATTTTCCACGTTGTATTGAGCACTTTTAAAAAAAGATTTATGCTAAAGAACTGTGAATTTTAAACCTGGCTCTTCTTTCTCTTTATTTGTATATATATATATATATATATATATATATATATATATATATATATATGTGTGTGTGTGTGTGTGTGTGTGTGTGTGTGTGTGTTGTATTGTGTTTATTACATAATGTTATATTATTATTTAATCTATATTAATTTCTGTTGTATTTATGATAATATATAATATTTATGTTGCAAAGTAAATATTTATTAAAATGCCTGCATTTACCCCTTAATTCATTTCTCTTGTTTAATTATTCAATTTGATTACTGAAATTTACTATACAATATTTTTTTCTAAACACTGTCTACATTTTCTATTATTAATATTATATGGGGGTACATTTTTTTTCATTCCCATATAATTTTAGTTGCTATATTTTTTCTTTATGACTCTATATATTTTTTGATAATGTTGTGTTAGCTGCGTATTTGTCTATTTTAAATGACCTTTTCTGATTATTAAATCTTTCTTTAAATGATCTATAATAATGCACGAAACAAAAGTGGAGACGATGAAACAAACAAAATAATCAGCCAAGCAATTTCTGGTCTCTGGTCGTCGAATCTAATAAGGTAATTTAATTTATTGCACATCTTCTAAAAAACAAAACAAAATTTTCCTTCCACACAGGCTTGTCTTTCATTCTGACCTGAAGAAGTCGAACGCAAAACACATTACATTAGTAAAATACGTCGTTTAAAGGATTTTCAATTTCGTCTGATAATCTCCGTATATATATATATATATATATATATATATATATATATATATATATATATATATATATATATAAGTAGGCGGCTTGGATTGAGGAATCGAAGATCCGAGTTCGAATTCCAATCGAATCCATTACATTCACTTACGTGGTAATACCCTTGGGCAAGTAGTGAATCCTCTTTTTCTCCCTCCAGCTATGGGTGAATAGCAAGACAGACTGAGTTCTATAGCCTTGGATGGCAATTGGTCTAGGAGAAGGAAAACTCTGAATTCAAAACCTGCGGAGGGTCGTTTGGGGACCTTGTGGCACGTAGTGCACCAGGTCTCTGTAATCGGCCCTTCAAAAAGTATGGATGGTCATTCACGAAACCTTCACCACTATTATCAAATCTCATGTGTTGTTGTCGGGTTGTCGGTTTCCTAAGAACTGATCTGATATGCAAAATATATAAATACCCATACATGTATATTTTTAGAATAAAAATTCCAAGAGGAAGAATCCAGGTAGAACTCAATGTCCAGGACAGAGTAAGGATATAATAAAAAGTCTTAAACACTAATATTCCATGGTCATAATTTATTCCATTGTAATCATAAATACAGTCCAATTCATCAGACCTACAAATGTATTACAGAAAAATGAAATAAAAAAAATTTAGACAATATTCATTTTTCTTTTAGGAGATTAAACCTTAACTCTCCTATTTTTAGGAGATATGGGTTAAGGGTTTAAATAAAGAAAAATGAATGTTGTCGGATGTCTAATCTAAATTTGTTTTTTATTTCATACGGAGTTGTTTTTTATCTTTTTTTTTTTGAATTTATAGGTTTGATGAATTGATCGTATTTACGATTCCAATGGAATAAATTATGACCATGGAATATTAGTGTTTTTGGGTTTTTTTATTATATATATATATATATATATATATATATATATATATATATATATATATACGTAAATGTTTATTTTTGCCGACTTGAAATGTGCATCGTTATAACCGGAATTTTAATTGATATTTATTACAATTAGCTTAGTGCAACGCAAGGATAAAAATATGAGTCATCAGTAAGAATAGAACTCATCATATTCTTAATAATCTTACGATTTACAATGGAAAATATATGAAATATTTCTTATAAGATATTTTATCTCGAGTAAATATTAGATGCAAAAAGAGTCCATAGAAGAATAAGCAGTTCTTTTTATGTGAAGTTCATTTCTTTTTACCTAAACTCTTACCAAGAATTGTTCAGACTATTCATCTGAATCTTTTTGTTGCTTTTGTCGTCACATGACATTTCAGCTAATCCTTTTCTCTAACCGTCCTTATGTTTACAATATTTATGTATGATCATGTAGGTAGTGAATACAAAACTTTTCTTTTTATCATTTAAAAGAGGAAAAAATAACAAGTAAAACAAACAAAATACAAATGGCGTCACGTATACAAATATCATGAAAAGAGAAGCAGCAGTATTATATCGATTAAAAAGGCAAGGGCAGAAAAATGGACACCGAACGAAAAGAAGGAAAAATAAAGTAAAATCAAGTTTCAAAAGATTTATTCAAATTTGCCTTCGATGTTACGATCTTCATTTTACCTGTACAATTGAGTATTTAGACGAAGGAAACTAACCAAACGTGCCTATTGTTTGTTGATGCTGATGGCTATTGACGCTTCTAACAGTTTATAGCATTCTTAGAAAAACTCTTGTGTTTCCTTACTTGATGACTCGCTTGTTAAATTACACGCGCCGGATTCTTCTATTAATATTATTCAATAAGCTTTGCTTGGCATGACAAAAAGACTAAATATTAACAAGAATATAGACAGGGAATCGTACGCATAATGTTCCGGTGTCTGCTTGCCTAAAAATCACCATTAAAAATCAAATTAACAAATCTTCCAAATCGTCATGTCCTGCCCCGAAAATCAGCGTACGGAGCTATGAGTTTGAACCCTGAAACCATATGCTGATAAATTTTTGAAATTTACTTAATTTAGGTCAGGGCAACACATGGGGCAAAATGAGACGGGAAGATTATGTTATGGGAACCATCCAGTAAATGAAGACTTGCCTGGGAATTCGGAGTACAAAGTCAAGTTTTATCTGAGGTTGGACACTGACCTCTGAAATCATTGGAAAATAGATAACTAGCTCTTTTTTAGATTTTTTTTCTGAACCCTAGCTTAGTATGGCGCATATGGATTGTGAGTGAGATTATAAAATGAGAAATGCATTAATAATTCAAGTGATGAGAAACTTTTTCCTTACCTAGGAAAAGATCATTCAGAATTACGCGTTAAAACCGATATCGGGAAGAGCGTCTCCTAATATTTAGTCAAAAATTAACTGAGTTCGGCACAAATAGAGTGAGGTAAAAAAAAAAAGTCATTGGAATTAGAAAATTGTCTTACGCAAAACTTCAAAACGGCCATGGGCTGCCTGGAGAATCAGTGTACGAAGCTACAGCAACTGATTTTGAACCCTGACCTCTGAAACCAGTGGGAAATAAGTAACTATCTCGGGACTAATTTTGATATTTACTAACCTTAGCTGAATATAGCAAACAGGGGAAGATAACCGTGGAAAGATGCTGAAATGAAGAATGTATTATACTAAGCTTTCAATTGACGACACTCTGTCTCTTTGCTTGACTGTCCGCATAGGAAGTTACAACTTTGAACCGGGCTTGAAAATCGACCATGGTGTAAGACAGGAAACAGGGAAACGAAGCAGGTGTCATTGAGGTTTAACAAGCAGATACGGATGTAGCTTCAGCATGTTGAGTTGGGAAGGAGGCATCTGAAAATTTTATGCTGCACTAATCTTCTAACTGTGGAGAGCTTGCCTAGAAATTCAGTATGCTTTGTATAGACATCTATCTATCTATCTATCTATCTATCTATCAGCCTAATCTCAAGCTATTTTAATAAGATTTTTCTTCTTCAATAAGACTTTCGATGTTTTGTCTGGTAGACATTAATTTCACCGAGTGAAAAGAAGAATGCCTGCTCAAACACATAGATGCTCTAAATACAATATATCTTTGTTAAAATGTCAGTATAACCACTCTGAAGCTGACTCATATGAGCCGAAATCTTAGATGAAGGACCAACTTCATAAAAATATCCAAATGTTGAACAATTTTTGTGTTTATTTTCACGCGAAATTAAAAATTTAGAACGGCTCCTGATCAGACATAATAGATATTCATTTTCTGTTATATTTAACAATATATGTTTAAATAATGATCTGCTGCCTCAATAAACGATATATATATATATATATATATATATATATATATATATATATATATATATATATATATATAATTATGTTGGTCGATTTTCCGACATATCGCACATTGTTTGGTTATAGTATGTCGAATCCTAGCATGGACTACCCATGCGGACAGTCAACAAAGGGACAGAGTGTCGTCACTTGAAAGCTTTTTCACTATTCAGTAGTGATGGCCAACAATTACTCCCCTCTCTGATTGTCTGTCTGTCTGCCTCTCTCTCTCACACACACACACAAAAATATATATATATATATATGTATGTATATATATATATATATATATATATATATATATATATATGTGTGTGTGTGTGTGTGTGTGAAAAGTGTATATAAATATAAATAAATATATATATGTATAATTATTTATATATTATATGCGCGGTACTTATTAGAAAGCGCTCATTATCAGAGATAGAGCTAACATATTTGTTTTGTCTGACGATCGCTAAAAGCGTGAAACCCAGGGTCACAAACTCACATCTATCCAACCAAAATATATATATATATATATATATATATATATATATATATATATATATAATAAAGATGTAGTTTTAAGGTGTCCTCTATGTATGTGTAAGGTTGCTCAAAATCAGGAATAGAGTGTAAATATGAAATTGAACTAACACTGAGGTTAACACCGGGTGGTGACAGTCTATTTCCTGCTTGGTCAATATTCAGGCATGATGATTTACACTGTTGGCTGCAATGTCCACTTATATATATATATATATATATATATATATATATATATATATATATATATATATATATATATATATTGGAGGAGTTTGTGACCCTTGTCTGACGATCGCAAATAGTGTGAAAGCCAGGATCACAAACTAACTCCAATCCAACTATATATATATATATATATATATATATATATATATATATATATAATAGGAATATTTTGTTTGGTTGCTATATTTTTAAAAACTTTCTTGTTCACAGCCACAATAATGAACTCTCCCCACGTCTTCGACATGTGAGTTGCCCAATATTTCAGATCCTAGAACTGAACAGCCAGGCCACAAAATAAAGAAAGAAACGGAATACAGTGTAACCCGGATATAAGAGACCCGGATATAAGAGACCCGGATATAAGAGAAACCCGGATATAAGAGAGATTTTCTCTGGTCCCAAATTAGAGCCTGTGTTAATGTATATAAAATAGACCAAACCCGGATATAAAAGAAACCCGGATATAAGAGACTTCTTCTCCGGTCCCGACAACTCTCTTATATCCGGGTTACACTGTACATAGAACTGGTGCACATGGTGTTCCACAATGTTTCCCAAGAGACCTCCACATCTTCTGAATTCAAAGTTGTCCTTCTCCGAGTCTGGTTGCCAACCAAGGCAATAGTGCCCAGTCTGTCTTACTACTTAAAACCTAGATGGGATGGAATGGGGTGCATCCATGCTTTTCCCAACGGTATTTGTAAGAAAGTGAATAGAACGAACAGCAATTTCTCATCCATTACACCATCTGCATAATGACATCAACAATCAGTTATTAATATTACAATAGCTGAGATAAACGTCTTCAGTTTTAATCGTCAGCAGACAGGTACCTCAGCTAGTTATTTATAATCGAGGTGGCGAAAATAAAATTTCGTTTTAGCACTTTGGCTGGAACGTGACACAATGTAAATTTTATTTGCCAGTTTTGAAGAAGAAATGAAAGATTGTTGAAGTTCCCATCGGGTCTGGCTGCAGAAACGATAAAAATGTTATTGGAAATTGTATTCTTCAGGCGATGAACAAAAGAAGATTTAAAAGACGAAGAGAATGAATGAAGAAATCGAAAAGAAAAAAAAAACAATCAAATAATCTGATCAATTTGAGAGGAACACAACGCGAAGCTTTACAGAAACGAAAAATAAACGAAAAAAAAAGTGGCATTAAATTAAATTCATTCGGAGTGCGTGCCGAATAACGTCAAATCGATTGCGAGAGCAGAATGACCTTATCTCGCGGAAATGATTTATTGAGGAAAATATCGAAGAGAAACGACAACCTGAACTGGATGAGAGACTGATAAACTAAAAAAGGTATAATATAAACAATATTTTTACGCCATTATTTAGAATATATGAAAAGAAGATGGTTCTCTCTCTCTCAAAAATCTCATATGATTAAAAAATCAACAATTAATAATTTTCACTTGAAAAGCGACAACGTCTAGTAAATAACATGTCTAAATTTCTTTGATGAAGCATTTTACTCAGTAATAATTCGTCTTCTATATGGCGTGTCCCTTCAGGACGTTGGTGATCACTGCTCTCCACAATTTCCTGTCTTTTGCAGCTCTTGATACATTTTCTTTTGCTATCTCTTAAACCTTGCTCCACAATCCACTTACTCAAGCTCGCTAAGTATGTTATGCGTTGTTTTCCTTTGTCCCTCTTGCCTTCAATCTATCCTGTGCGCATCAAATTTTTCAAGCCCTCTTTCCTCATTATGTGCCCTAGATATGTCAACAATTCTTCCTGATGTTAAATAGAAGTGTCCTTTTTGTTTCCATTTACTCTAAAACTTCATCGTCGTTCACATGTTCGCTTCATCGTATTCTCAGCATCCTTCTGTAGAACTACATTTCTGATGTTTCATGTCTCTTCTTCTTCTTCTTCTTCTTCTTCATCTGTGAGGAGATTGCCCGGTATTCACTAACCAAATGGGAACACTGATATAGCGTCGTATTTCAATATGCTTTTCTTTGTTTCGAATAAAATATTACTGTTTTTAATATTTTGCTTAGATTTTGGAAGGAAGTATTTGTTATCCTAATGAATTTTCGGATTTCAGTGTCGTACTATTCGTCTTTTGTTAAAAAAAAAAATTCCCAGATAATTAAATGCGTTTGTTTGATTTTCACTATTTACATTATTCGGACTATTGTCCACATTATTGTTGCCCTATTTATCACAACGTTTCGACCATTGTACGCTCCGGCCTTTTTCAGGTGGTTGGAATGTCGAACTGACCCTTTTATTTTCTTAAGAACACATGGTACAGTGGATAAAGGCGTTGGTTCGATCCAGTGATAGGATCCAAAAGTTGTGAGCTCAATACCTAGTTAAGGCAGCGGAGAACTTGGAGAGATGAATTAACAGGAGATAACTGACATCCATTAGACATGGCACGTGGAACTAGAACAGTCTACCCCAGCGATGGAAATAAAGGTTTCAGTTCGACATTCCAACCACCTGAATAACGCCGGAGCGTACAACGGCTGAAACGTTGTGATAAATATGGCAACAAAACTGAGGACAATAGTCCGAATAATGTAAATAGTGTACATAATACATCATCTTAGAAATATACACAGATATTGTTTGATTTTTGTATTTCTAATTTTTAATTTGCATGTTGGGTTGTTCCTGTTGTGAAGTACTATGCATTCTGTCTTCTTGCAATTGATGTTTAGTCATCTCGTTTTCCTTCACTACCTTCTATAATAGTACATGTACTTTTCCTTTCTGTGTCTTTTTAAAGATATTTAACAAAGGGCGGAAGCAATTAAAGTTTATTCAGACAGTACCAGAAATGACATAGTGTGCGGTACCATCAGACAAGAAACAGGCCTGTTAGAATTACTGATAATAACCATCAAAAACAGGAAGTTAGAATGGTATGCCCACATCACAAGAACCAACAGTATTTTCACTGTCATCCTACACGATACAACATTAGGAGAAAAAAAGAAGAGGCTGAATGTGAAAAAAAAAAAAAAATAGGTGAAAACGTCACTGAAGTGTACTAACAGATCCTTCACAGAGATTGAATTGGCACACAACCCAGGCATATAGAAAGAGCTGATCATATGCGCATGACCCTATGACCACATCCGGTTAGAGCTACTGTTGATTCTTTAGAAGATTTTCTGAACACCAGAGGTTTTGCTTATCCAGAGTTATAATTGATGCCATATTATATTTGCCCGAAATTCTTGGGTGAGCCATTGTCATTTTTAGCTTTAAGGTGGAATAATTTTTCATCTTATTCTCGCTGCTTGTTTACTCAATATGATGTCCGCATTTTTCAGTTGAAGTATTGTTATAATTAATATTGAACTGATTTTTTTTAAATTGTTCGACTTATTTTAATCGCTAGATTTGAATTAGTTTTCTTTTCGAATAATTACTGATTTTTTTGGTTACATTGAAAATAATCGCATTGCAACTTTTCTTCTGAATACAATAAGACGATATTTTCTTTCTTTTTAATTTATCAGACATAAAATGAATTGAAGCCCATTCATTACACTCAGTAATGACTTAGTGTCAGTAAACCTGTTTAAATACATCTAAAATTAAAAATTCTAGAGAACATTGTTATTGTAAGATAAAATGTTTCATGAAACATTAATACTATTTATTGATAATAACTGACAACGAAATATATATATATATATATATATATATATATATATATATATATATATATATATATATATATATATAATATTAGTGGTCAATATAGATTTTTCCAAGAAGATAAAATCCAGGTAGAGCTCTATGTACAAGACAGATCAAGAACATAATATAAAAGGCTCAAACACTAATATTCCACGTAGATCTGAAGAATTGGATCATGATTATGAAA